ATATCTGCTTTTTCTTTTTCCTATGTGTCCAATTACTGTTAACTAATCTTCTCTTTAAAGTTTTTCTATTTTATTCATCATTGTATTTCTGCATCACCGGGTTCGATCCCTTGATGGGGTGTGTATAGCAGGCAACCAATTGAGGTCTCACCCACACTCGCTCTTCCTCTCTCTCTAATATATATAGACGAGAGTCTCAGTGCACAAAATTTGTGCACTAGGGGGTGTGTCCCTCAGCACAACCTGCACGCTCTCCAATCTGGGACCCCTCGGGGGATGTCTGACTGCCTGTGGGATCGGGCCTAAACTGGCAGTCAGACATTCCTCTCACAATCCGTAACTTCTGGCTTCCAACCGCTTGCCTGCCTGCCAGCCTGATCACTCCCTAACCACTCCCCTGCCAGCCTGATCGATGCCTAACTGCTCCCCTGCTGGCCCAATCGCCCCCAACTGCCCTCCCCTGTCAGTCTGGTTGCCCCCAATTGCCCTTCCCTGTCGATCTGGTCACCCCCAACTGCCCTCCCTTGCTGGCCTGGTCTCACCCAACTGCCTTCCCCTGCCGGCCTCTTCTGGTGGCCATCTTGTGACCACATGGGGGCGGCCATCTTGTGCGAGGGCGTGATGGTCAATTTTCATAATACCTCTTTATTATATAGGATAGTGCATGAAGGTTACTATGTTGATTGCTCAGAGCTTCGGTTCCCCCTTGAATGTTGCACCTGAGGAGCGAGGCCGCTCCCTCACCTCACCCAACCTGCCACTGATTGGGTCCTCTGTGTCCCCTGGTGGAGGGTTTGAGATTTGGGGTTCAGATCACTTGCATTCCAGGGAGGAGAAGAAGGGGAGCCCCTGCCGCAAGGTTTGGGAGGGGTTGGTAAGAGAGGTGACTGCCCAATAACCACGAGAGCCCAACTCAAGGGCTCTCATGTGGTGTGTGTCTCTGGGGTCCCTATGGGCACAGCCAAGGCTGTGGTTCCTGTGGGTGCCCACAAGCTCCATGTAGTCACGCGTGTCCCCGTGTCTGTGTCCGTGTGCCTGTGTGGCTGTTTCCGAATGTGTATCTCCTCCTGCTGACCCTTGCGTTTCCTCGTGTGTTTCTGCACCTGTCACTCCACCTGTGCTCAGCTTCCACGTGGGCTCGGGCTGCCAGAATCCCCACAGCTTTGCACAGGCCATCGCCGACAGCCGGCGCGTGTTCGAGATGGGCCGTGGGGTCGGGCATGACATGAGCCTCCTGGACATTGGAGGGGGCTTCCCCGGAGTGAAGGGCTCTGAGCCGGAGTTTGAGGAGGTAAGAGGGGAGGAGGAGAGGGCGTCTGGGGGCCCCAGCCGGGGTTTATTGCACTGAGTGTGTGTGTGTACAGGGAGCTCTTGAACCTCAGTCATGTGCCTGCATGTAGCTGGGCTTTGTGTTGGTTGAGAGGTCTCCGACTCTATATACGTGGCCTGTGTGCATATATAAGCTTGTGTACTAGTATGTGTGCATGTGGCTCTGTACCTTCTATAGACGTGTTGGTCCCTACCCCTGGTAAGGCTACAGTCAGATAGAGGTTTCCTTACTGTATCCCCCACACCCAGGGGACAGTTTCCCTTTGCTGATCACGTATTGATTTCAGTGTTTCCAAGTCAGATCTCATGGTGCTGCAGCCTGGTCACTAGGCTTGTGCCCTCGGGCACTTCTCCCCTCTGGGCCACAGTCTCGACCTGTTTCCTCCCCTGCACAAGGGGATGCTGACACCTTCCCACAGAGCTGTCAGGGGAATGAAGAGAGAAGACGCAGGGAAAGACCCGCACAGGGACTGGCCTCACAGGGCTCGGGTCTGTCCCCACAGATGGCGAGAGTGATCAATGCTGCCCTGGCCCAGGACTTCCCCGAGGGGACCGGCATGGAAGTCATAGCGGAGCCAGGCCGCTTCTACGCGGCACCTGTCTGCGTGGCCGCTGTCAACATCATCGCCAAGAAGGCTGTGCTGCAGCCTGGTGGGTGGGCCCAGACTGGGCAGGGAGCGCTCTGTCCAGGGGTCCCCGGGCCTTGGGGGCAGGAGGGGCAGAGGGTCTGAGTTCCACCCTGGTTCCTCATTCGGGGGGACATGCTTTGATGTAGCTGCAGGATAGAGCCTGTCAGTAACGTTACTGTGTTGTTCTCAGAGAGGCTGGAGGGAGGCACTGAGGGTCTTTATTCTTCCTGTGTCTGGGGGGGAAGTCTGAGAGCACAGCTCATGGGCCACAGCCCCCCCTGCTGGTATGCACCTTACTGTTTCCGAGCAAGCACTTTCTACCAGGCGTGGAGTTTTAGAACCCAAGTTCTAGTGAGTAAGTAGTATTTCTAGAACAAACATATGAGGAAATATTGTCGGTACCATGGCCGGGAGGTTAAGGGTGACATTTGTAGGGTAACAGTAAATGATATTGAGTCAACCATCTCAGGAGAGTTTTTGATTGTTTGTTATTTGGGGGAAGGGGGTGGGTGGGGTTGCTGTTCTCACAAAGGGAGCTAAGTAGAATCTCAAGTGCATGTTGAGCTAGAATAGACTCACCCTCTGGGTTAGTGCCCTTTACTCTGAAATGTTATGACCGTCATATAAGTATTTCTAAATAATTTTTATTTTATTTTTAAAATATATTTTTATTGATTTCAGAGAAGAAGGGAAAGGGAGAGAGAAAGACAGAAACATCAGTGATCAGGGAGAATCCCTGAGTGGCTGACTTCTGCACATCTCACATAGGGGATCGAGTTTGCAACTCAGGCAGGGTGCCCTGACCGGGAATCAACCATGACCTCCTGGTCATAGGTTCATGCTCAGACACTGAGCTACACCAGCCAGAATCTAAGTCATTTTAATCTATTTCCTTATCCTTTGGACAAATGCCCTACCTACACCTTTGTAACCCTAAAGGCACGTGGGTCCACTAATTTCATTTCCTCACAAAGTGTCTCATTAGAGAATGTTGATTTGGGGCATATGATTTCAGCCACCATTTAACAAAAGCCTGAGTTATGCATATTATGGCTTACCATTGTTGTCTTCACAATAGCATGAGCTGCCAGTGGTTAAGGATGTATTATGTGAGCAATTACTGTTTTACCTCATTTCTGCTCAGCCCTCCTGTGAGGCAGTTTGGGGCCATTCCCATTTTGCAGGCAGAGATCTGGAGGCTCAGAGAGAGGAAGTGACTGTCCAAGGCTGCACAGCTAGCTCGTGCACAGCTGCGCCAGGTCTGTCCGACCGAGAGGCTGGTGCCCTTGTGTTTGCAGACATGCCAGCCGACGAAGTGCCCAGCCTCAGGGCTGCCATGACTAACCCCATGACCAACTGGCTTAGGGACAAGTGGGGCTGTGGGCACAGGAGGCAGGATCAGTTCAGGCAGCTGAGAGAGAGCGGGGACAGGAGGACTCACACCAGGGAGAAGATGGTGGTGGTGGTGGTGGGGGACCCAGGGAGAGGAAACCAATAATCAGAAAGATCTGGGCATCTAAATGCTCAAAGGGTATGGAATGGCTCCAGGGCCCACAGAGACCAGTTGGAAAGATTAAGGACATCAATGTCTAAGGTCGGACTAGGAGTGGTTGTTCAGAAAGTGGTTGGTAGTAGTTCATGTCCTAGGGTCTGGGGCTGTAGGTGAGCATCAGCTCAATGTACATCGGAGTGTGATGGAGCTGGGGAGAAGCCGCCATGTGCTCAGTGAGGCATCAACAGAGGCAGAGCATTTAGAGGGAAGGAGGTGACAATTACGCTGCTCTCTGACTGTGAGAGCCGGGCACTGACAGGGGCACTAATCCCAGCCCGGCCCCATTCTCCTGTGTAACTTCTGGCAAGACTCAGTGTCCTCAAATGTACAGTAGTGTTCATTGTCCCTACTCAGAGTGTCGTTAGGACGATGAAATGATTTAATATGTGCAGACAGGTTGGAATAGTGCCCGGGTTACTTGTACAATCATTGTTAGTGGCAGTAGCAGCCATAGCACTCTGATCAGGTGCAGGTGGGGCAGAGGAGCCGTGGGAGCCCAGAGAACAGGCCCGAATATTGCAGGGGATCCGAGGAGGCTCCTGAAGCAGGACACAAGGGTTATCCAGTGCTGGGCAGAGGGTCGGGGCCGGTGTTACGGGTGTGGGACTCAGTGTTGACCATCAGTGGTGAGACTTGGCTGAGCACAGTCCTGTCCTCTCCCCTCTCCCAGGAGGCCACCGGAAACTGTTGTACTATCTCAACGAGGGCCACTATGGCACCTTTCGCTCCTTCCTCAGAGATCATGTCCCCAGGATGCCAATTGTGGTGAAGGTAAGGGGACCCTTGTGTGGCTCTGGCTCCTCCCAGACCTGATAGCAGTGAGTTCAGCCCCTTTCCCTGTGAGGCAGCGATCCCTCTGCGAGGTGCAAGGAGGCAGGGTCTTAGACTACACATGGCTTTATAGATTGTCATACCACATGCATGTACAAGGATGTGAACAGGCAAACCTGTTTGTTTTTGCATGCACACTTCTGTGTGTGTGCATTTTGTGTATGAGCATGCTGACTGACACCTGTGCAGGTAGGTGGGTGGATGGGTACATGGTCCTGTGTGGTTGTGTGTGCACATCGGTTTGCCTCTGGGTTTCCATGTGATCTCTCTGTATGCACTGTGTGTGTGTGTGTGTGTGCGTGTGTGTGTGTGCGTGTGTGTGTGTGTTCAGAATCCTTGAATGCTGGAGATGCAGGAGTCCTAGGAAATGGAGGTTCTCTAACTTGCTTCACAGTAGACTCATCTGGGAAGCTTCCAAGGACCCCCATGCCGAGGCGAGGGCCCAGGCGATTGAAATCAGGTCTCTCCTGGGTTGGGACATGGCATCAATCCTTTGTTAAACCTCCTCCAATGTGACTCCAATAGCAGCTGAGTTTCACCCAGTATTTGGAGTGATTTTTGACTGAAATCTTTTGCTTTTATAGATGGGAAACAGAGGCCCCATGTGTGTCAGGCGTTGAGAGTTAGCAGGGCTAGAGTGTGTCAGTTGAGCGAATATAAGCTCCATGAGGGCCAGGTCAAGAGCAGTGCCTGGCACATAGGGACTGGCTGGTGTGAGTGACTGCCAGTGTCCTTGCTGGTGCCTGGGGGTGCTCTGCTGGCCGAGGGTATGGGCTGGGAGGGTGGGTTGGGGGCAGGAGCTCTTCCTTCTCTGACTCCCCACCCCTGTGTCCCTGCAGGAGCTCTGCTCAAAGCCGCCTCTCTTCCCCTGCATCCTTTATGGCCCCACGTGCGATGCCTTTGACAAGTTCTTCAACAAGGAGGTGCAGCTGCCTGAGCTGGACGTGGGTGACTGGCTCATCTTCCCCTCCATGGGCGCCTACAGTTCAGTCATGAGCTCCACCTTCAATGGCTTCCCGCCTGCGACCATCTGCTACATGATGGGACCTGAGCTCAGGTATCTGAGGAGAGCTCAAGGATCTGAACTTGGCCCAGGGAGCTGATGGCTACGCTCTGGGTTCCCAGGTCCAGGAAATACCATACACCCCACCTCCCACTGGCCCCAGAGAAGATTCAACTGACATACACTGCCTATGGGGTGACCTGTTACACCCATTACCCATATAAGTCCAAGGCAGCCCTCCTGGGCAGTGTGACAGCTCTGATGTTTAGACGCCTCTGTGTACACAAGCTGACATCCTTACAGCCCCCGTAACCCTTGATTCTTGGCCAAGTCACCACTCTACTCTGACCATTTGTGGCTGTTTCCTGCTTCCCTCATTCGAAGTCCCTTCCCTACCAGCCTCAGGCTCCCTCACAGGGTCTGCCCAAGAGCCTCCTGTTAGCCCAATCTAGAGTTCACTCCCCGAAATGATGGGGGCTTCTAGAACACCCCTTTACTGGTACAACCTTTCCACAGGAGCCTGCTGGAGACAGCGCCTTAAGCCGGGACATGGCAGAATGGAGGGGTTCCAGACACTTGGTGCGCCACCTGGGAAAGCTTGGGGCGGAGGTGGGGGTGGGGTGGGGAAGAGTCACATGTGGGAAGCAGAGGTTAGGTTACCTCTGAAATGATGAGGCAATTTTCCCCCAATGTTGGCCTGAAACACAGGCGAGCCCTTCTGGGCAGATGACTCCACCCTTGTGATTCTTACCCCCTGAGCCCTGGAGTGGGGTAGGCTTGAGAAACTGGTGTTATTATGTTAGGGTCCAACCCCAGCAGGTCCAGGGGTTTCCAAAGGTGTGGATGGAGTCGGTGAATAAGAAATGACACGGAGACAGCGTTCAGTTGATCAGCAGCCTAGCCAGGTTCTCTAGTCAGGTTCTCCAGCCAGGTTCTGTCTTTATTCTCCTGTTACATCTGTATTTATACCAGTTGATTTTAAATATATTTTTTATTGACTTTTTACAGAGAAGAAGAGAGAGGGACAGAGAGTTAGAAACATCGATGAGAGAGATCGATCAGCTGCCTCCTGCATGCCCTCCAGTGGGGAGGTGCCTGCAACCAAGGCACATGCCCTTGACCGGAATCAAACCTGGGACCCTTCAGTCCACAGTGCGAGGCTCTATCCACTGAACCAAACCGGTTCGGCTATACCAGTTGATTTTAATCCTATCCATTCTATTGCAAAGGTTAGGGCGTTTGTTATCTCCTTTCCAAGGTCACTACTCTATTGTTCTGTTAAGCTACAAGGAAGTAACTGAAGGAGATTATCCTAAGTAAAGATTATGTAGCTTAAGCCTGATTGTTCGTAGTTAAAGTGATCAACTACCCGCCTGGCACTTAGTTAAGGGGTTTTACTGATTCATTCTCTTCCTTAGTCCTGTTAATCCCTAACTCCAGGGAAAAATCCCCACCTGGGGAAACAACCTTTCTCAGAGCAGTGACCTTGGTTAAAACACATAGCGCTAAGTAGGGGAGCAAACATATTAAGAACAGTATGCCATATACGCCAGGTCCCTTGAAACATATGCTGTGCAGCTGTTTCTTCCCTGCAGCGACTGTGTCAAGCAGCAAGGATGGACCGGCTTCCGGCATTATTACAACACATGCTCCCTGAAGGCCATAGCCTGGAGTGTGAAGTAACTTGCCTTGGCCAGGACCTTGAGATTCTTTCATTCCTCTTTTTATTTAAAAAAAATATGGCCGAAAAAATTGATTTTTAGAGAGAGCGTCGGCCTGCGGACTCAAGGGTCCCAGGTTCGATTCCCGGCAAGGGCATGTACCTTGGTTGCGGGCACATCCCCACTGGGGGGCGTGCAGGAGGCAGCTGATCGATGTTTCTCTCTCATCGATGTTTCTAACTCTCTATCCCTCTCCCTTCCTCTCTGTGAAAAATCAATAAGATATATTAAAAAAAAAATAAAAAATAAATAAATAAAAAAAATATGTATCTTAAGAATTGATTTTTAGAGAGAGAGAGAGGAAGGGAAAGGGAGAGAGACAAATATCCATGTGAGAAGGGAACATCCATTGGCTGTCTTCTGCATGCCCCTTACTGGGAATCAAGTCAGTCCACAACCCAGGCATGTACTCTGACCAGGAATGGAACCAGCAACCTTTTGCTGTTTGGGAAAATGTCCAACCAACTGAGCCACACTGGCCAGGATTCATCCCTCCTTTTATCCAGTTAGTGACCCCTGTGTTGTTCCAGAAATATTCACGTGAACTATAGGCACCCATTCTAGTGCCAAGAACACCTGGTCTGGAGTCAGACTTGTAGCAAATCCAGGCTCCATCACAAACTGGCAGTGTGGTCAGAGCCTCAG